GATGGCAATGGAGAAGGAGATGCCTGTGACAACGATGTGGATGGGGACGGTGCAGGCCTGGGGCTGAGGGAGTGGCTGGGAGAGCTGGAGGGGGGAGGCAAGGAGGCAGGAAGTCAGAGGCAACTGGGGAAGGAGGCTTAGAGACACTGGGCTAAGAGCATGGAGTGGTTAGAGAAGATGTGAGTGAAAGCAAGTTCCCTGACGGAGCTCAGGGCTTTCACCAGCACAGAAGAGCATGCTAGGCAGTTTACAGCAGCCTCGTTTCTCATGTCTACTAGGCATCCCTAATGGATTGGACAATTGCCCTAAAGTACCCAACCCACTGCAGACAGACCGGGACGAAGATGGAGTGGGAGATGCTTGTGACAGCTGCCCTGAAATGAGCAATCCTACCCAGGTACAGGGGAATGTTGAGGGTGAGGTAAGGGGGGTGGGGGTTCGGTGGGTGAGGCCCTGTCCTTTAAATAAGAGGTGAGATCACCCTCTCCAGAGTTATCAGGAGATGGTGAGATTAGACCTCTCTCTCAGACAGATGCAGACAGCGACCTGGTGGGGGATGTCTGTGACACCAATGAAGACAGGTAGGTCTAGGTCAAGAGATTCCAGGTCTCCCAGGGAGTATTTTCCTTCACTACATTCTCAGTTACCTCTGTGATGTAACCTTAGTTCACCATTCTCACAAACCCACCCACCATTCCTACTGCTGGATTTCTATCTCATCTGGATGGTGGCAAGGAGGTTGGAGGGTAGGCAGGCCCAGAAAGCCCCCAGAAGATAAGGAGAAGATGAAACCTACATTTTCAGCTGGTATTTGTTGCCTTTTCTTTGAGCAGCGATGGAGACGGGCATCAGGACACCAAAGACAACTGTCCTCAGCTGCCAAATAGCTCTCAGCTGGACTCAGACAATGATGGACTTGGAGATGAGTGTGACGGGGATGACGACAATGATGGCATCCCAGATTATGTTCCTCCTGGGCCTGATAACTGTCGTCTGGTACCCAATCCTAATCAGAAAGACTCAGATGGTGAGGTTGGGCTCCCAGAGATGGTTCAACTGATATGGGCCGTGCTCAAGAGGCAGCCCACTGAAGGGAGTGAGGGAAGGAAGGGTAGCGAGGGGTCAGGAATGGGAAATCCCAATGGTGACAGCCGGCAGGGCCTGAGTGTCTAGCCTCACTGTCTCCAGGCAACGGTGTTGGTGATGTGTGTGAGGATGACTTTGATAATGATGCGGTGGTTGACCCTCTGGATGTGTGTCCGGAAAGTGCAGAAGTTACCCTCACAGATTTTCGGGCCTATCAGACTGTGGTCCTGGATCCCGAGGGTGATGCTCAGATTGATCCAAACTGGGTAGTGCTCAATCAGGTATGCAGGGCAGCGGGCTGGGCAGTGCTGTCAGACCAGACCATAGTTGGAGCCCAGGTGGCATCGTGCACCTGCATCAGGGCTTTTTTTCTTTCTTTCCTTAACAACCAGGGCATGGAAATTGTTCAGACTATGAACAGTGACCCAGGTCTTGCAGTTGGTATGTAAGGGATACCCAGCTCAGTAATTTCCAAGGGGAAGGCTCCTATAGAGGGTAGGGAAAAAACCAGGTGGGGAGGATAGATGGGGGCTTACCGAAAGACTCTGGCCCTATATACAACAGGCATCGCTGCCTCCATACTCACCCCACCACGGGCTACCAAGCAGCTTTAATGCCCACATTTATCCCACTCCCACCCCAGGGTACACGGCCTTCAATGGTGTGGACTTTGAAGGCACTTTCCACGTGAACACGGTCACTGATGATGACTACGCCGGCTTCCTCTTCAGTTACCAGGACAGTGGCCGCTTCTACGTGGTCATGTGGAAACAGACAGAGCAGACCTACTGGCAGGCCACGCCTTTCCGAGCAGTGGCCCAACCAGGGCTGCAGCTCAAGGTATCCCAGCTGCCCAGTTTTCCCAACTCAGTGACTTTACTAAACTATTCCTCTCAAACCTCGGGGGCTCCACTGCCTGACTAGGAACCGTCTTACCCAGACATCTAAAGCTGTACAGGATTCCTGAGAACCTTCCTGATCCCCTCAACTCCAGAACTTCCTCACCAGCTCTAACCGTCTTTTGTCTCCCTTCACCCTGGCCCTGGGGTTGACACACTGTCTTTGTCAACAACTCCCAGGCAGTGACATCAGTATCTGGCCCAGGTGAGCACCTCCGAAATGCTCTGTGGCATACTGGCCACACCCCTGATCAGGTACGACTGCTGTGGACTGACCCACGAAATGTGGGTTGGCGTGACAAGACATCCTATAGATGGCAGCTGCTGCACCGGCCCCAAGTTGGCTACATTCGGTAAGGAAAGGGTTTGAGCCCTGGGGAAAGGCGTGGGGGGCAAGACTCAGCCTCCTATGCCCTCTAGCTAACAGGGACTCAGTAAAGCTGGGCAATGGTGGCGCACGCCTTTAATCCCAGCACTCGGGAGGCAGAGGCAGGCGGATCTCTGTGAGTTCGAGGCCAACCTGGTCTCCAGAGCGAGTGCCACGATAGGCTCCAAAGCTACACAGAGAAACCCTGTCTCGGGAAAAATCAAAAAAACAAAAAACAAAAAACAGGGACTCAGTAACTGTGACCTTCTCTCTGCTCAGTTTCTTGGTGTCATGGGTAGGGCTTACAGACTATTTCCCATCTCACCACAGAGGAGGTGGTATAAGGCACACCATTCCTTTGCACCAAGTTTCCCTTCTAAATCCAGTGTGTTGAGCTAGATGCCTTTCAGTTCTCCAGGCCCAGGGCAGTTCCCTTAAGTGTCCAGAACTTGCTCCAGCAGCATCTGACTTTGGAAAAGAACCGTGATTTACAGAAGAGCAAATTGAGGCCCACAGTTTACAGGCCTCTCAATTTGGCATTTTGTTCACAACATTGATTTTTTCCTCCTGAAAGTGTCCCTAGTTGGTGGGAATGGCTTGAGAGGGGAAGGGAAAGGGGTCTGCTTAGAAGCTGGGCTTCCAGTGGCCAAGAGCCTAGAATCCTGAGAGTTGAGTTGGTTTCTCTTTAAGGTATCTAGAGCGGTGGGGAGCCAGGACAGAGGATAAAGGGGGGGTGTGGACTAGAGCCTGGGAAGCGGGTGACTTCACCCCCAGCCCTTTGTGCTCATTGTCATAGCAACCCAATCCTTGCTAGGAATGTGCTGGTGCTTTGAGATGCAAAAGGGGTGGACAAAGAGCTAGGGGCCCAAGGCCTGAGAAAAAGCACCCCTCCTTCCCCTTTCCAGCCTCCCCTCCTTTCCCCGCAGGACTGGTGAGCACAAGGAGGGGGGGAGGTTGTGCACAAAACCCCAGGACATGGTGGCACAGGGCCCCTGGCACCAATGATACCTCTATCCTGGACAGGGTGAAGCTCTATGAGGGTCCCCAGCTAGTGGCGGATTCTGGGGTGATTATTGACACGTCCATGCGAGGGGGGCGTCTCGGTGTATTCTGCTTCTCCCAAGAAAACATCATTTGGTCCAATCTCCAGTATCGATGCAACGGTGAGGTTCTAGACTGAGGTTAGCTTGTCCCGTGCCCTGGGAAACCTCACCCACTGATGTGACTTATCTCCCCTCTTCAGACACAGTGCCTGAGGACTTTGAGCCATTCCGGAGGCAACTGCTCCAGGGAAGGGTGTGAGGTGCCGCCACCAGATTCAGAACCCTGACTGGAGACCTTTGACCTTGGACTCTGTTCTGGAGACCTTGGGGTCTAATCTACAGCTCCTCAGCCTAACTGATGGTTCTCTGGCACCCATCAGGGAGCGCAGCTCCAGAGGGGTGGTGACCCCATTGTGCAGGGGTTGGGGGACCTTCAAGGGGTATATTACTCAGGTACGAACCCCAGGAAAGACATCATCAGCACATTGCCATAAAGTTTCAGCTATTTTCTAAGTCAGTGCAATCACTTATTTTAGGCCTTTTCTAGGACAATAAGGAGCCCGAGGGGTTAGAAAGGCTGGTAGCGCAGGTTAGAGAGCCAGGGAAAGTTTGACTGAGTTGGGGTGTGGGTGGGAAAAGTACCAAATGAAGGATGAGGTTGGAAGATGGGCTAAAGTCCTTCCAGCCCCACTTACTCACCGTGGCGGCGGCGACCCTTCTAAGCTCCGCAGTGATCGAAAGCCCAGGGCTGGGGCTCCCCCGCTCTGGGTGAGGGGGCGCCGGGGGGGCCGAGGGGGCCGGAGGCCGGGACGAGTGCAATATTGGCGGGGGAAAGAACAACACTGCACCGCGTCCCGTCCCTCCCGCCCGCCCGGGGCCCCGGAACCCCGCTCCCTACCACCTGGGCCTTTGGAACCCAGGGACTGGGGGCGCTCTGGAGAGTTGGGGTCACTTTAGAGTTACACCAGAGCCTGGGTGCCCGAAGGGTGAAAGGGGGGGCGAAAGGGTGAAGAGAGAAGGGGAACCCCCCCCCCCATGCCCTGGAAGGCCACTTTGCAACGTCGAAGCAGTGCGCGCGCTTGCTCTTTAAATACTCAGACTGAGAGGCGCGGAGCTATTGTCATGGTGACTGGTATCCCAGCAACCAAATTGACTGGCTGTTGCCTGGCAATCCCAGGAGTTGGGGTTTGGGGCCCGCCTACCTAAATTCTTGTGGGCGCGCTGACGTAGGGCGTCCTCACTCCGCCCAGGGCCGGCCTCACAAAATCGCTCAGAGGCGCGATACACGGCGGGAGCGTGGGTCCCACGCCCCCATTTACGCACCTCCGAAAAGTTTCTAAAGTATCAGCTTCTGTTTTGTACTCGTTGGGACTAAGAATTGTTGGCCTACTACAGTTGTAACTGCAAACCTACGCCTGCAGGATCTGGCCTGGTACTCTGAGTCCACATGCTGCTGTGAGCCCAAAGCCCTCCCCGTCCCCAACTGTCCCTGCCCTTCAGAATACCTCTCG